AAACCTCGGAGCACCGAAGAGGTGGACGCTGATAGCATTGATCATGTAAAGCATACATTCATCGATAATAATCCAAAAGTAACTACGGACAAGAAGTGAAACAACTATGGAAAAGCATTAGGTAGAGGAGTTCACTTATCAGAAGGCTAAGTGTAAATTGGTAGGTTTAAACTTTTTGTCTGTTTTTCAGACTGTGTATTTGACAACGTTTTTTCCGTCACATCACAATCATATCATTTTCATCACACTCACATACACATACAGATATTGTTATTATATATTCTCATTTATTGGTTTCTAATGCTTCACATATAGTATTTTGATATGAGACCTGTGGACCCTCGGTTAATTTTCATTTGTACATATTTCGATTCATTCACTTTGCTAGCAACTAACAGCAACAAATATATTATTTACAAATCGGACTCAAATGTCACTAACTATTTCATTTTAGGCTAACATAGAACATGGAATTATCATCATCCGTATCATTAGTACTTGTGTCTTCCATTTTAGTCTGTTTATTAAAAATATCATACTGTGAAACAGTAGCATTTACTGGATAACGTTTTGGACATAATTTATTGTCCATATTCATATCAGGTAACTCCACAACTTCGAGACAGACTTTATATATTCCTAATCTACTATCTCCTTCTCTGTGATGACAAGGGTAGTAGAATTTTCTTTAGATCTAGGACAGGTGCAGAATCATTTCTATCACTGTATGTGTTTGGTGTTGATTCGATAAACAAAGATTCGGTTATCAATCTCTCCCTCCCTTTACCCAACTAAGTTAGTTTTCAAAACTGTCACTCTATCCCAGCCTACTGTGTGATTGTGTGTCATCGCATGCACAGCTATAGCCGAGATTTTCTCTAAATTCCTAAACCTTTTAGGACCTACTAATGTTAATTTAGCTAAGTTTTTGTACTCTGTTATTCTAATCAACCCTGGTCGACTACTTAACCTGTCAATCATTGTAAGGGATTTGGTAAACCAGATTATTTTACCTAGTTGCATCGATAGGATCTTTTAACCTACGAAGTTTGTTTCTAAGTGAGTTTGTTGGTTTGAATGCCAGTCATTTAAATCCCAGCCAGCCTTATTGAGAATTCTTCGTAATGTTTCTGAGGTACCTTCCTTGTATGGTAGCACAGCAGAGGCTTTGAATTCTCTCTTAACCCTGTCACCATTATTACTACTAGTAGTGGGATTATTATGAATAACACCTGTATTACTACTACTACCACTGCTAGTATTTTTCTTTCCATTTCTTATGGATTTATTTATAAATTTTGGTGGGTAGTTATTGAGATGTAGGGTATTCTTTATGTGTCTAATTTCTTGTCGCAGATTTTCCGATCTACTAGTAAGCTTTTTCGCTCTATCACCTAAGCATTTAACTAGGCCTACTTTAACTGAAATGGGGTGGGATGATTTGAAGTCTAAGTAGTGATTCGAATGGGTAGGTTTCCTATAGACACTAGTCTCTAGATTTTCTTCTTGTGTTCGTTTAATCTTGCAGTCTAACATTGCTAGCTCACCTTCTTCACTTTCTAAGTAACACGTACTGAAATCGGAAGACATCAATAGGTTCTTGACACATAAATTCCGTAGTGAATGTAATCCAATTTACCTGATATGAATATGGACAATAAATTGTGTCCGAAACGTTATCCAGTAAATGCTACTGTTTCACTGTGTGATATTTCTAATAAACAGACTAAAATGGAATTACACTCGACCAAAGTGCCCAATTTTTACTCTTATAGTAATTATGTCTCTTTACAAACACCAAAATTGACGATTTTATATTCAGAGGTAGTATTCACTATGGATTGACATCAGTTTGGGAACCATTGAAAATCTGGAAGCGCTGGACAGCTGTTTGGTCCTAGTAAGAGACTCCTGAGCTATATGCACCCACGACCCAGCTAGGGATCAAACTCAGGGCCTTCAGGTTTCACAGCGGGGAGGCGGGGTAATTGAGTAACTCTTTTCAGCCATTTCAATAGATTTATTGTATATCCATACTAAACTCCTGATGAAAGTGATTTCGTCTAGGTGTATTAGATACCGATTATTATTATTATTATTATTGGTCCCTTGGGTTCCTAGTGGAACATAGGGCTTCAGTAGCACGCCTCCAGTGACCTCTGTTCTCTGAGATCTTTTGAACCTGGGCCCACGACAGCCCACAAGCTCTCATTTCCTCCTCGCATGACCTCCTCCATGTCACCCTCGGACGTCCAACTCGTCGCTTCCCATGGGGATTCCACTCAAGGGCCTGACGCGTGATGTCCCCAGTCGGCCTTCTCAGTGCATGCCCAATCCATCTCCACTTCTTCCTGCATATTTGTTGTGTGATAGGTTCTTGGTTGGTTCGTTCCCAGAGTTCCTTGTTGCTTATTCTGATTATTCTGGCAATCCATCTGATCTTCAGTAGCGAGCGTAAGCAGTTGTTGATGAATGTCTGTAGTTTATTGGAAATGCCTTTCGTGACGCGCCAAGTCTCTGAACCATACAGGAGCACTGACTTGACGTTGGTGTTGAAAATCCGTATCTTGTTCCGCATGCTCAGTGCAGAAGATATTAGATACCGATGAGGAATAACAACTTTTTTGATATTGTTTCTTTCATCTTTTGCCTTCCTTTTCATTGATGTACGTGTTATTGGTGTCTTTGAGTTAGGGTACTCCGAAACAGAAAGTATGTAATGTCGTTGTCCGTTTTATCGTCAACGTTGAAGTTATGAGTTATCAGGAGTATTTACCATCGCCCTCAAAGACTTGTAAATTAGTAACCATGTTTACATTTTGTCATTAGGTCAAATTAAATGACACTACTGTGTAATTTTCGCCGTGTTATTAGTCTGTAGTCAGTTCGCAGGAATCTCTGAACTTCAGTCCACTACACACTTGCTGTATCCTAATAGGATACATATGTAACCATAAGGATACTCAAGCTCTATCAAAGGTTCAGGTCTGAGTTATGCAGTACCAGAGTCACTGAATTCGCCAAAAAGCTAATCAAACCTACAGTATGTTATTATGGTAATTGACTTAGAATTGCATGAACATTTATCACTTCAGATTGCCGTTCATAATAATCGCGTGGCAACTTCATGCATATAATAGGGTTCTAAAGCATATTATATACAATCTGAATAGCTAGGTAGGTAGAAAACTGTCATCAAATTCAAATAGTTTCTATTTAAAACGTTACAGGATATATCAGACTTACAGTTATACTTTTTTGGTAAATGGTGAAAAATAGAGACCCATATCCACAGCTTTCCATGGACTCATCCTATGAATTTCACATGACTGAATGCTAGTGAAATGTGATCTTTTTGCCTATACTAACATCTTAGGAAACTAATGCAATAAAATTTCGCACTGTAGCTTTGGTTCGAGCTAGTGAACCAAGAAAAGTACATTATCAGCAAACAACTACCATACGCCTATAAATTTCTACCCTTTCTGTGCTAAAAGACTTGCATAAATGTATATCACAATGACTTTATAGGCTCACTCAACTTTTGACGATCACTGGAAGTGGATCAGATTATTTATTGGTAGGAGAATCCATACAATACTGTGTTCTTCTGACAAAAAATCTTTTCAGGAGCGAGTTATTAAGGATATTCTTTGATATGAAAAGAAAGCTTTATTCATCTATGTATCATAACATTACTTCGTGTTACCTAGAGTTAGGTTTGCTTTGCGTATATATAATTTATGATAAGAAAGTTAAGAAGTTTCATTTCTGGTTTTGCAATTTCTAAGAGTGTACGAGCAACCATAACAGAATTTATTAAATTCATGTTCACTTCACCTCCTACTACTACTACTACCTGTATTACCTTTTATAAATAAGTACTATAATCTTTATTTATTGATATACTTGTAATTCTCTATTGTTTTGTCCGATCGAATTGTTCGACCTCTACTAGGGTATTGGGCCCTATGTAGATATCTCAACATTGTCTGATTGTTAATTATAGTAACTTACTTGGTTTTGACTGTCAGAAGGATTCAGGACGCGCGTTTTTCCCTACTTACTATTCGTCAGTTGGATGTATCTGCACCCCAGTGAGTGATGTTGTTCCCATTGAGACTCGAACTTCGTACGCACCATTTCAAACGCCAAGGTGTTATCCACTATGCTACGGAGGGACGACAACCACTTCCTGTAGAAAGGGTATTAGTTCTTACTCTCTACTGATATACTTACAACTTTCCGTTGTTCTATTGGATCGAACTGTTTGGATTGCCAGATGCTATGCCTCCATTGCATAGTGGATAACGCCGTGACGTTTAAAGAGATGTGTACGAGGTTCAAGTCTGAGTAGGGACATCACTTACTAGCGTAAAGGTACATTCAACTAAAGAGTCCCAAATGGGACGAAAAGCGCGGCCTGGATTTCTCTGCTAGTTAAACCCAAGCAAATTACCATAATTATGATAACCATAATTCACATATTCCATGGTTTTCAATGTTCTCCTGGTGTTAACTATTCACGTACAGAAGTGATGGTTGTAGCTGAAAAGAAAAGTTTGTTTGTCACAGGATTTAAGTCTCCAGTCTCCAAGTTACTAGTTTGGCACTCTGACGACTGATTTACTGGACTCTTTTAATAGCTAAGTTACAATTTTGGATCAATCACGCAGAGTTCAGCACAGCTTTTTACAAAGTCGTTTCATTTACATCTAAGTGTATGGGGTTCCTCTTCACTTTCTACCTACGACCTCATCATTTCGTCTCCTATTTGCAGCTATTTTTATAGATCCAAGTTGGTGAAATCCTTCTTGTGCTTTATCGCTTGTCTTAGATCGATCAATGTCATGCATTTTATTTGTATAGCAAACTTTGGTCTTGGTTTTATTTGTCATTTGTACGTAAGATTATTGATTGCTGTAAACTACAATTTTAGTACTATTTTCTCTTGTTCTTGTACATGAATTATACACTTCAGAATTCAGTATTTTATAGTTCTTTAAATGTAGCATTTTCGATATCTTTTCATGATACAAATAGAATATAGTACAAAATTTCTTCAAATCATTTTATTTTCATCCAACTTTGTTCGTGTAAGAAAAATGTCCGTTTAAACCAGCTGATATTCACTCGGTGTACCCCATATTAAGAAACATCTATCTTGTAGTTGAAACTGAAATGATCGATTCTCAAGATGCGTATATGATAAGCCATAGGCTCCACGAAGTACAACAACATGCCATGTTGGCCCATAAACTTTCTGTAGCCATAATTTCAAGTTTTGTGCTATTTCACGATTTCCAAGTTCACCAGGTGGGTATAACAAACGTCGAGCTTGATCGCTAATACGAATTTGATCATTGATATCCATTTGCTGGGAAATTACATAGACATCGGATCCTAATTTCTCCACAGGCACTTTCATACGTTCAATTCTGATTTTATGTCTAAAATCAGAAAAAAGAAAAGAAGAAGAAAGATGGTAGAAGATGAGAAATTATGGGAATTTGTAAAAAATTGAAGTGGTGTTTTACTGTATCGTACTCACATAGTCATACAGTGTACCATGAACACAAGTGTTTGACAAAGAGCTTAGAGAATAGATTTCCTGAAAGCCAGAAATGGAACAAAAAACCATGGCGACTGATTATAATAAAGCTTACTTGAAATCGACTGGTTGCTATCCCAAGCAGCAGTGGACCCAGTTATTGACTGTTGTACCTACGTGTGCACTATAAACCCTTGGAAAGCATGTAGGTCCTATCAGATATAGTTATAAATCAGAACTGAAGACGAACCTTTTTAGTTTCCTCTGATCCTATTTTTGAACAGTAATACTAAAGTTAAGAAACTCTTTAGAGTGTATTCCGTATCATCGCCTTTCTTTTCTACATCACTGCTTAATATATTGCTGACCCCACTTTACTTACATCTCCATGAAACTGTCAAACTATTTCTGTTTGGTGCTTTTCTTTGTGCCCTTATTTTATCTAATTCACACCAGAATAAATAAATACGATAACAGCATCTTTAACACATTTAGTTACTAGCAACCTCATGGTGACTTTATGCATATATATATATATGAGTTGATTAATCAGATCTCACTTCTGGTTGCCTTTTGCTGATCAAGTGTGGAACCTGACCACCCGGTTAATAAACAAGAAATTGTGGTGCACTGCTTCATTGTTACGTAACGAGAGCTAATCAGCAGGAAGCTTTGGATACAATTTGCCCACTTAATAACTTTTGACGTAATGGCGATTTGTAGCTTCGGGAAGATTTTTATCTTCTTTAAAATGTGAATTTTTATCGATAAGCGTCACAATCAGAGGATACTTGGCGAGGAAAATTACACAATCTACGATGAAAATGTCGCGAATAAATGGGATTCATTGTGGTTTCCTTTGGCCAATAAAACGTGTAATACTACCTGCAAGAGACCATGAAGAGTGCCAAGTTAACCAGCATGGAAGCTGCAAAACATATACACCTAACAGAAGTAAAACTGGGCTACACATTTAAATGCATTTTTATGAATAGTAATGAGTTATATCTCAAGCTCAAAGAGCTAACCGAACTCTATTGATCGACTAATTCATGTTATAATTGAAAGTTTCATATTTTGCACTATTTTCTGTCTTCTTTCATAAGGTGGTAGAAACTGCACATTGTCACCTTGCAGCCTTTTTACCAGATGCATCACCAAAGCAAACTTACAGAAAATACCCATTAAAACTTTAGAGGAAAAATGATGTAAAGCGCTCCGAAATTTATTAAAAATCGTATAAAAACTGATAAGAGAAGAAAAGGGGAACGTTAGTGGTGATCACAATATGCCTAAGAGGGAATTCATATCCTCAGTAGTGTTACTGTACAAGGGAGGTATATGGGAAATTTCATATAGAATTCTTAATGCTGGAATTAAGGTAGCATTCAATCCTATAGACTCACCTAGACAGAAACTTTGCAGGCTAAAAGATCAAGTAGAGCCAACTAACCGAAATAACATTGTCAAATACCATGCAACAACTGTGAGGTCAAGCATATAGATCAAAGTAGTCGATTGGGTCAGTCAGAATAGCAGAACACGAAAATTTAGTGAAACATACAATTTGGAGAAAAACTCAACTATCACTGTGTATCCACTGACCCATAATCATACTACAGGGTGGTTATAAGGTGACAGTTCACTCTGATATCCATCCAATATAGCTAGATGGAGGGAGAGATTGATCACAGAATCTTTGTTCACTGAATCCACAATCAACAAATGTAAAAGGAATGATTCATCACATATTGCAGATATCTGAAAATGTCTACTACCATTAAAATAAATGAATGAACAACTGTTGAACTATATGAAGGAATTTTGAGAATCGTGTGACGATTACTCCGGTATGAAAATAAGCAATAAATCCAGACTGAAACAACATTGAATGAATTCTAATGTATCGCTGTGCACAGTATCAATCAAATAAGCAATTTAATATGGAATTTTCATTTTGTGACATATTGCAGTCATTTTGATCACTGTCTGAATGAGTATTATTATAGGTGTATAACAAACTTTTCTTAATATTACCGTTTATTCTTACAGTGATAAACCAGTGATTTGGTATTTTTAAAGAGATTATCAATTTTTTTGGTAAGTATATCGCAGATATACCTATATTAGTTTCGAAAAATACTAGTCAACTGATGAAGATAATTAGGGTAAATGTAGTTTGATTGTAATATACAGTTGTCAAAAGTCGTAAGATTAATTAGTTAATTGCTAGAAAATAATAGCAATTTCAAGGTCATTGTGTTGTATATACTTTTAAATAAGTAGAGCTAAATTCATTGTACAAACGAAGTATTTTTTTTAATTTCAATAAATGACCTGACAGTTGTCTGAATAGGATACTTTTCTCTCAAGTAATCAAACTAAAATTGAAGATAATTATCAGAAATAAGACATATAATGATCAATTTCTCAACTTAGTACATTTCAGTAGCGATGTCTCAGATTTGAAGAATTCACAGTGAAGGATTAGTATCCTTCTAGTGGGTATAGTTTGATGGCAGATTGTTTGTGCGCTACTCATCTTTCAATAAAAGTGTTTTGACTTGTCAGACATCATTATTTGTGAATAGTTTGAAACGGTGAATTTCTTTGAGATCTAGGAACGTTTCTGACAACTTCTACCTAATAATTGCAAGAGCGATGCCTAATCGCTCAGTCATTTCTATATGGTTACCCAGTACTGGCAAGTGATGTAATAGATCCACAGGGTTCGGACCTTATTTGGAGTATTAGTTCCATCAGGGTTGCAGATACGCCTTGTTGGTGAGTGCCAGTAAGCACGAAACCTGAGTCCATGGCTTTCTGTCGATTGTCTCCATCCAAGTAACATCTACAAAAGTGCGTCTTATAAAGTCAAACAGACTGACGATGAACAAATGTATCATTTCCGACAGGAAATGACGAACGCTTAGGAGAACAGTGTAAAACAAGCGGTGTTAACTGTTAAGGATTCGGTCGATAAGTTTGATGAGCTTATCAGCTTTGAGCGGAAAACCTTTATTCCAACTGTTGCTCCATCCTCGAAGACTAATCAAAGAAAGATACATTTTCAAGGTCACAAGATGCATTTCTACAAATTAACTAGCTCCTGATACTGGATACTGAGATGATCAGTTTGTGAATGACTTACCGATTCCGTGATTCATGTCAGCATTTCCGATAGCTTAGTACTTTTTAACTCCGTACCTACGATGTCAACAGGATTTCTGCTGGAGTCAACTCGTCAGCCAAGATCACAGGTTACGTTATCGTTGCCACAAAAGTTTCATGAACTAACGAAATAAATCATCAGTGGACAACGTGGGTAGTTAGAAACAACTCAGACAGATATGTAGATTTTGTCAGCCAGAACACACTCATACAAACATCACAGAGCCATTTCACTCGTTTGAAGTTGAGGTCACCAGTGATGTACGCGTAATCATTCAGCTCATAAAGGTGAATTAATTCTGATCAGGTGAATCTAAAAATTAGCTTGAGTCGTTTCTCACTACAAGTTATTCAATTGTAGTATCTTTCTCTAGTTCATAGCATTTTTGTGTTAGAGATCATATATTTTGATGTCATCTTATTGGTGGTTTCCAATCGAAACTTTTTGACATCACAGCTGTGAAGTTGAAAAACTTCGAAGCTGTAAGAAATGTCAACATGGACTGTGTAACTTGAAACTCATTTACAAATTAATCATCCTATTTCAGGTATATCGATCCATGTAAGCAAGCTGAGTAAATTCAAGTAGTCTAAACTAAACATCTGTGTACACCATTGGTGAGCCAAACTTCAAACGGTGTTTAGACGAGTCTGATCTAGCCGATGCAAACTATAGATCAGTCTGAGTGATTTCTAACTACTCAAGTTATTCATTAATAGTATATTTAGACTCTGGAAGTTACTCATATTTATGCTAGCAAGTAAATGTTTTAAACAGTACTTACGTTTTTAAATCAGTTGGCTTTTCATGAACACAGTGAAGACAAAACTGGTGAAATTTGGAGTCATTTTCTACAATAACAGTATAAAATGTGATGCTTAAGCATCCTAAACGATATTTTACTATTAAATTCAGGATGTACGAGTACAGTAAGTATACAGAAATATGGAAAAGTGTTCCACACTGGACCCCTTCTAAGCGATACCTAGATGAGTATTTTGTCTTTTGTGTATCAGAAATTAAGAAGTTAACTAAGTCTAGAGTTGTCTGAAACCATATTCTTTTGTTATTTATATTCTTTTACTGGAAATAAATGAGTAAATCTGATAAATTGTAAAAAAAACAAACTGTTATGAGTAATAGTGTATGGATTAAATTAAAACTCACGCTTCCTCCTTTTTTATGCCAAAAACTTCACAGAACTTCTCCAGTGTGATATAACCAGTGTTTTCCGGATCGAACAATCTTTTCCAACTCTTTGAATAGCAAACATATGTTACATAGTAGTAAGTTATTAAAGTAGAAATGATAAACTATATATATATATATATATATATATATATATATATATATATATATATATATATATATATATATATTACCACCATTATTTGTCCCTTGGGTTTCTAATGGAACATAGGGCTACAGTAGCATGTCTCCATTCCACTCTCTTCTCTGAAATCTTTTCAACCTGGTTCCACGACAGCCCACAAGCTCTCATTTCCTCCTCGCACGATCTCCTCCATGTCACCGCCACCTCGGACGTCCAACTCGTCGCTTCCCATGGGGGTTCCACTCGAGGGCTTGGCTGGCCTGACGCGTGATGTCCCCAGCCAGTCTTCTCAGTATATGCCCAATCCATCTCCACTTCTTTCCACTGCATATTTGTTGGTTGACAGGTTGTTGGTTGGTTTTTTCCCAGAGTTCCTTGTTATTTATTCTTTCTGGTCGTCTGATCTTCAGTAACGAGCCAGCGTAGGTGGTAATTGTTGATGAATGTCTGTAGTTTGTTGTAAGTGCTTTCCGTGACACATTAAGTTTCTGAACCGTATAGAAGCACTGACTTGACGTTAGTGTTGAAACTTTGGGTGCTGTTCACGCTTTATGGTGAGTGCAGAAGATATCCACACTGGTTTCAGGTTAATGAACGCCTGTCTTGCTGTATATATATATATATATATATATATATATATATATGAATAGTCATCATTTTAATTACTACTGTTTACTGATAACCGAGAGTATATTTAACACAGCTATTTACAAAGAGGAATAGTAAATGATATGAAATTAGCACATCTTTTGTATATACACACTAAAAGTGTAGTTGCTTTTCAAGCTTGAGTGAAATAAAATGATGTTAAGAGCTAGGGAGGACTGTCTTAAAGTTCATCTATGATTAAAATTCATATCGAATTCAATCTTTATACGACTAGTTTTATAGAAGAAGACTACATAGAATGACTGAGTAAAGCTTTATATACTTGAAAAATATTATTTCAAAGTTTAGGATTAATCAATGCTTCTTTGCATATTTTGTCGTTCATGTTCATCAATTACTAACGCATTCATTCTCCATCTTTCACTACTTCTTTGTTTCATTCTTGTCAAGTCAGAAGAATGAATGCGAAATCTTATTACTGATAATTTTATAGTTATTCATCTTCTAAAAAGTTTATCACTCCCACTCTTACTCCTACCCCTTTCTCTGCCCTTACTCCTCCTCCTCCTACTAATCCATTTTCAGGTTTCCTTATCAGAAGCTGTTGTTTATCACTAGTATTGATACGTGAATGTTCCTTCACTATCTAACACTGACTTCATTTATCTCTTTCATCTTTCATTCTTGCATTAACAAATGAGAGAATGAAGACTGTCTACTTCATTGAAAGCATAAAACAACCATTGTATTTAATTCCTAAAATAATTAATGATGTAATAAGCATTTTTAGAAATCAATATGAAAACAACTAACGCATAATTAGTTAGTTAACTTATTTCCACTTACTCTGACCATTTTTTCGTCTAAATTATGTCTTTCCACATATGTTCTTAAATCTTCTGTAGTTATTACATCACTATGGTCAACATCAACTGCAAAAAATGCATCTAGGAATGGTTCCATTGAAATGAAAACCGTTGACAGTGGTGCTGTTGTTACTACTGCTGCTACTGATGATGATGATGATGATGATGAAAATAGTGATGAGACTCTTGTCTTGTCTTATAAACATCTCTAAATTTATTGAATACTTTTATACTGTAATTTCAATGATGTATAGATGAAGTTATAAAGTGATTGATATCTTTGTTTTTCATTGTGTTGTAACAATTCAATACAATACAAAGAAAGACGTGAAGCAAAAAACTAGATAAATTATTTTGTGTCATGTGTTGGTTGAGGCGTAAAATTACAAGAATGTATACATTATTAAGTATACACGTATATATATATATATATATATATATATATATATATATATATATATATATATATATATATATATATATATATACGTCGATGGAGTGTACACTCTGTACAGATGTAAATACTTCAGTGACCAAATACATTCACACAAGCATACAAACACAAATACAAACATTGTGTATTTGCGGTTGAAACAACTATGAATTATAGACACAATGATAAACAAGGGATTAGTGGTGAATAACCCATAGACTAAGGGTAAGTGAATTAACCATTTCACCTAAAAACAATGAATAAAACATTTATGGCTTAAGCTAAAAGCTGTAGAGTTCCACTTTTATAGATTTTAGGATGGAAATTTAACCTAAGAGAGCTGAATAAGTTGAGAATTGGGTAAATCAATTCCAAAAGAAATATATTTATTACGATTTGACTATCTGAGATAGCTGTAGCTTGGCAGACTATATTTGGTAGAAATATATTTTGAGGGAGTTGTGGAGATTTGCAAATATTCCAAGTTGTTATTCATCGTAGACTGACATCAGTTGGAGGAACAAAGGAAACCTGGGAGCACTGGACAGCTGTTTCGTCCTAGTATGGGACTCCTCAGCAGTGCGCACCCACGACTCCACCAGCAGGGACCGAACCCGCGACCTTCAGGTTCCGCGGTCAGCGCGTTACCACTGAGCCACTGGGTCAGAATCCAATGCTCCATATTTCCAACTTCTGTTAGCCCACGATATATAGCGCAACCGCAACTGCTGAGGAGTCCCACACTAGGACGAAACAGCTGTCCAGTGCTCCCAGGTTTCCTTTGTTCCTCCAACTGATGTCAGTCTACGATGAATAACAACTTGAAAAAAATATATTTGTTAAATCTAAAATGAGGTAGAAAAGTAAAATTTCTGACGTTTCGTTACCTTGTGGAAGTTGTATCTTCAGAGAATTAGTCAATAGCAACAAATGAGATCATATTGTTCATACACAATAATAATATTGGTATGAATGTCATTGTAGTCAATAATTAATTACTCCATGAGTCCAACGTGAATACGTGAATGTATGTGAACATGTGATTGGGTGTGAAGTGTGTAAAAAGTATTATCGATGAGAAATATAGTTTATGTGTATGTACGTTTTTATGACTAGTCTATGCAACATGTTATTTCGGATATACTGTTCAAGTTGATTGGTTAATTAGGCCTTTCTATCTACTGAGTGCATTAAGATGCTACCTGACGTAAGATGCTGCAGCTGTTCATCGTTCCTCGTACTCAAAAAAGCTTCCTGAATAATTTTAATACCTTTAATATCTTTTTTTTGACTATGATGGATGGTATGAACCGTGATTGCAGGCAGATATGACTTGTGAATTTCCCAGTTCTACAGCATTATTTGGAGGTCGTTTTGTGTTCATTTAGCATGAATGAGGATCTCCTGGGATAATTCGCCAATGAAATAAGCATCACAATCGATATAGCATAATTTGTAAACAGAATCATCTTTGGGGTTAAAAGTAATCCTATTTTTTAAGTGAACTAAGGCATTCCTAAGTGTTAGTTCTCTCGTAACTAGCTTCAATTGGGTATTTTCTTAATATTTGTTGTAGTTATTCATTGATTAGTTAAACATGCCATAAGTTGTACAGATTTTATTCCCTGAAGAAGCGAGTTCTACGAGGTCATAAAATGTCAGAAATTTATTTTTCTACCTAACTGGGATCTTATAAGTACACTCCTTTTGTATAAAGTTACATGTTTGCATTATTATTTACTTCCAACTGAGTATTTAGGATGAATGAAATTTAAATTCCTTCCTTGTTATTATGGATATATACAGCAGTGTATTCAGAGGTAAATGAAGATTTCATTTTTATTGTAGTATTCATCATGGACTGACGCCAATTGCAGAACCATTGAAAACCTGCCGTCCAATGCTTCCAGGATATCTATAGTTTTCCAAGTGATGTCATATCACAATTAGTTGTCTGACAACAGATAGCGAGAATCTATTTATGCTAGAACATTTTACTTATTTTTTTTATTATCGTTAATGCTGTTTCAGACTTTCAGTTTTCTCTCAAAAGATTAGAATTGATTAGATGTAAATACTTTACTTCTTAGTTTCACTGGGTATAAAAATGTCTAAATGTTTTTTGTTGATGGCGACCAACAGGGAAACGTAGAATGTATATTTCGTCCCACTTGAGATTAGTCAGTTGGATGTACCTTTATTCTAGTGAGGGCTGGTTTTCCTACTCAAATTTAAACCCAGAACCTATCACTTCAGACGGCAGGGCCTTATTCATTAGACCATTGCATTACATCAACCACTGCTAGTCGCAAACATTCAGATGACATTGTAGTCAGTCTTCTGGAAAAACCGAGTCATCCCTATAGGCGGATAAATGCCAACATAAACCGATTACTTCTGTCCGAAATAACAACTTGTTGGAAGGTACAAGTAATAATACATGTATGAAACTAATTTAATCCTGACTAAATATTATTGTGAAATTTGAGGAGGATAAAGTTTACAATGGTAGAAAAGGTTTGTGGCTAAGTTTGAGGATGACATCTGTTTTTCTGTACTTTGGTGGATAATATTTGCCTGTAGTGCTTTCACTATCAAACTGTCTAGCCTAGTAATTAGTTTATGCATGAAGAAGTGTTGATGAAATCATTGAACATGATAGATTCAGTTGTTTTTTGATAAAGATCCAAGAATTGTATATAAAAGTGTGATAAACTTGGCGTTTAGATTACTCTGATCTAACTGGCGAGATCTATAGTTAAGCCTGAGTGGTTTCTAAACTACTCAAGTTATTCAGTAGTACATTTCGCTAAATCATGCATTTTGCTTACTTTATTATAACTTGTAGAACGTGGTGAATACCGATCACTTATGCCGAATCTATGGAAAATTTCATCGTTCTCTTCACAGATGATCAATGCTGAATGATATTTGACACTTTATAATCCTGATTATTTGCGTTCTCCTTTACTTCTATTATCGCACAGCTTAGCAGCATACCCCACAGTTTTGCAGCGTTTGCATATAGATCACTACTCAAAGTAAGTCTGAGTTAAAGTCAACATGACTCTTAACGAACTAGGCACCAAATCTATCTGGTGTCTAGGTCTCCGTTCCATATGAAAAAGAAATATGCATGACAGTAATCTATAGGTTATCTGAATATGAATGCATAGCTGCATACCATGCTTTAAAATGACAGTCGGATAAAGCTTCAGTAAATGAAGAGAATTTAGTACATGGTCTCTAGAGGGATGTCTTAACTCAGTTGCTGCCTCAACGGATCAGTATCTTGAAGCTCCTAGTTAGAACCTTATCACGATCCGGATTTTCCTTTCACCTTCAACTGTCACCCTGCAAAATACATACACATCCAGCTACTTAGATATATTTATATAGGACAGAGTTTACATCATGATATCTCAAAGTTATCATTATAAGCGATCACATGTGATACAATTCGAGTAGGCTCAGGGGTTTGTTACTCAATGGCATCATTGCTCAGCATAGTCTTCCAACATGCAGTTGAGAATGATAATTTAACTAAACTTTCAGGTGAACTGAATTTGGGGCTTATGAAATTAACTGATATTGGTCCGTGATTCTCACCATATTTCACATCAAATTTTTATTTTGCTTAATGGAATGGTATCAAATAAATTAACTATTTTCAGTTGGCCTTTGAGCAGCAACTCACTCAATAATCTTTGAGGAAGTTTAGTTTTTCACTGTGATTTGTGGCGTGAGGTTACTGGTAACAGAAGTGATTGTACTACATCTCATGGTGAGAAAACTTTTCTCAGGTGTACAGTTATGTTGTGGTCGTATAGTACTGAGACAAAATTGACATGAAATATTAGGCCTATAAAACTGTTTTCAATAATAAGGCATACTTTTATAAGCCAACATACTTAGAGACAAAGTGAAACATTCCATAAATCACTGAAGGAATAGGTTATGTACCACGTGGTTGTGTTAACAGATTCCCTTTCATGAGGTTCCTGAATTATAATACGAAAGTGGTGAGTGAATTATTCAGCTAATCTTGAACAGCGCATTAATAACCTGACAGGTGTCATCAAGATAAGTAAAGATTTGTGGATTGTACTATCTCAGTGCGTGATCTCGACTCAATACAAAACTATGTGTTCTCCACAGTTATACAAACCCAAAGGCATCAATCATAGGTAACTGTAACTTCTCTGTTCACTTACTTACTCTCGAACGTTGGCACTGAAAAAAACAAACAAAGTCTTTTATTCAAATCAGTGTGCATAACATCAAGAAAAAATTGACTGATAAACCAATCAGCCTTAAAAGTTTTATCATTACCAATCCCATGGACACATTTGATACTACCGAAGTTGTGGAAATCATTAAAAAAAACTAGCTATCAGAACACTTCTCATCTACTACATTTGATGAATGCTGTGTGCTAAAAGGGCATATATAAAATATTATTTTCCACAACAGTTTTTTTTCGGAGTTTTTTCATCAATATGGATCATTATTATTTAATTCTTTGTGCATATCACCGAAGGAAACTGATGACATACAGCGATTCACAAATTTGTTACAAGCTTCCGCAAAGCAGCTATAAATAACCTTGGGTGTGGTTACATCATGCTGAAGCGAAATCAATATTTCAGTCAAATAACACCATCCAGTCAAATACACAATCACACATAGAAATTTTAGCACTGGAGTAACATCATTTTGGATAACATCACTAGGTGAAATAGCTGGCTCGGCTGTTA